TTAATGTTTAGCTATTGATGTAGTTTTATAAATAAGATTCTATCTTATGGGATTTTATTTTGTCTCTGATTGTGGATAATTTTTTGCCATTCAGAAAGGAAACATTTAATGTATGACATGCACACAGTGTAAGGGAAAAAATAGCTCCCATGCATGCATTTCTATTTCTTCGATATCCCAGCTAATGTGATTTTTTTTTCTTTTTAAGATTTTATTTACTTATTTGACAGAGAGAGAGAGATCACAAGTAGACAGAGAGACTGGCGGTGGTGGGGGGAAGCAGACTCCCCGCCGAGCAGAGAGCCCGATGGGGGGCTCGATCCCAGGACCCCAAGACCATGACCCGAGCCAAAGGCAGAGGCCTTAACCCACTGAGCCACCCAGGCGCCCCTCGTGTGGTATTTCTTACTGGATTATATTTAAGAGAGTAAATTTATGTCTTGGAAAAAAAATCTGAATTAAACTTTACAACTCTGTGCAACCACTTGTTAATAGTCGAATAGTTCTGAGATCCCTGGTCAGAATAAAAGAATTTAGCAATAGATTTTATAGACTTTGCTGGGTGTTTTCCAGGTTGATCACTGTCTACAAATCCCATCCTTTCTTCTTTTTGTGTAGGAGGGCCAAAGAGTTGGCGGCTACCTCAGTGAACTGAAGAGTTAGCTACTATTCAGTTAACAAGTCTCATTTCATGCACATGTGTACGTACACGCACAGATGCATGCACATGTGTACGCACACACACACGCAGGCACACCTCCCTGCCATTGGATGAGAACATGTTTATTATCAATCTGCTTACCCTGTTTCTGGTGGTCTCAGGTCTTGGAGGACTGAATGCTCACTTCTCTCCATGGAGTGCTTGGGGACCTCCTACATCAGCTAACCATTATGGTCCCCTGAGGAAATGCGCTGAATAAAAAATGTTTTCAGATTTTGCTAGGAATGCATGTAATATATCCTTACAATAAAATACTCTACAATGGTTAATATGCCTGAAGTACGTCTGTTTGTGCTAGCATGGGAAGCTGTCCGTGAAGTGGTATGATACGCACATTGTGTGACATATATATAACAGGATGCTTATGAATTTCTTTATAAGCTCCGTTCAACAAAAAGGTTTTCTCTGTGCATCATTTCTATGGCATACATTGTAGTTTCTTGCAGCTGTTTGCCTTTTTGTGTTCTGTTCCTTCTACTGGAATATTTTTTCTGCCTGATGAATTCCTATTTATTCTTTCAGAACTTAACTGAAATATAATCTGTGAAGCTCTAGACCTGATTCCCCAGACATAACGAGTTTTTCTCCAAAGCATTAGGGCCCTCTGTTCTCACCTCTGTTGTACCACTCATGGTATGTCTTGTAATGATTTGTTTATATGTACATGTATTCTCTGGCTAGGTAGTGAGCACCTATCAGCCAGCCCAGGTTCGAGTACATAACGTGGACTCGACAAAACTGAAGAATGTCTCTTTTTATTGTTTTGTGTTTCTCAGGCCGTAATTGATATGCATAGAACATTTTAAGAGCTCTTTTTTCTCCTGGGTTTGATAAAGTAACATCTGCTGTGTTTTGTGATTCCAGCTCTTTAACTCATTCATATGATTAAGATTTTTTTTTAAGACTTAAACTTTATTTATTTATTTGACAGACAGAGATCACAAGTAGGCAGAGAGGCAGGCAGAGAGAGCGGGGGAAGCAGGTTCCCTGCTGAGCAAAGAGCCCAGTGTGGGGCTCGATCCCAGAACCCTGGGATCATGACCTGAGCCGAAGGCAGACGCTTTAACCCACTGAGCCACCCGGGTGCCCCTGATTAAGATTTTTTTTTTAAATTTCATTCAGGGGCGCCTGGGTGGCTCAGTGGGTGAAGTGTCTGACTTGGGCTCAGATCATGATCCTGGGATCCTGGGACTGAGCTTCGCACCAGGCTCTCTGCTCAGCAGGGAGTCTCCCTTTGCCTCTCTCCCTGCCCATGCTCTCTCTTTCTCTTTCTCTCTGCAGTAAATAAATAAAATCTTAAAAAAATAAAAACTTCATTGAAGGATAATTTATAAACCATAAAATTCGTCCATTTTAAGTGTATAATTAAAAGGTAAATAAATTCAGAGTTGTGCAATCGTCACCAAATCCAATTTTAGAACAATTCCATTACCCCAAGAACATCCCAACTGAGGTATTTTTCAATATTGGTGGAACTATCCAGAAACTTGTTATCACTTGAACTTGATGACCTCAAACTTTGTCATTATTTTTGGCTCTAAACTCTGTCGGACACGACATGGTTAAAGGAGGCCTACATGCGTAGTGGCACTGCATCCTGAAACAATAGTGCCTCCTGGCAATAAGGGACACTAATTCCTCTTCAGAGGCTTGCTGTGTGACAAGCTCTTTGCTGAGTCCATTATAAACATTACCTCGTTTAAGATTCAGAATAGAATAATCTGTATTGTAGATTCCTTCTTTATATAATCCATATGTACGTTGCAGAGAAGGAAGTAACTCGAGATCACACTGCTGGTAAGTGGAACGGCTGGGACTTGAACTTGGACCTGACCATGTCCCAAATTTACCTGAACATTCCGTGGCTATATATTGAGCAATTGCAGTGTGTTCCTATAGAAAGGCACATCTTAGGAAATGTGTAGGCAAGTTTGAAGAGTTACTTCATCTGAAAAGGGAGGAGGTAACTACAGTGTTGAAAGGATCAGCCCTGAAATCAGCTTTTTCTCTGACTTGGCTCCATCCAGTTGGGTTTGAGGCCCCGTGGGCATATCCTGAATTGGGTCAGCAGACCTAGAAAAGAGAAGAAACAGGGGCATGTTGTAAAAAACTATAAAATACTGAGGCCATTTGGGTTATCAGCATAATCTCTGATTAAGTTTGCTTTGGGAGTTATTTAATCTTTAAGTCTTAAAATGTTACCATCGCTTGTTTTTCGTCAACACAAATGGTCAATTTTATTAGTTAGAGTAGTGGTTTGGCTGCTGTAACAGAGACCTAGCAGTGGCTTAAATAAAATAGTATTTTTCTCTCATATAAAAAGCTGGGTAGGAAATCAAGGTTTGGCATAGTAGTTCCCCAGTCATTAGGGATCCTGCCTCTTTACCTCATTGCTCTGCCCCTATTATCACACAGCTCTCAGCTTGCAGTTCAGGTGGGTTGTTTTAGCTCCTTCCACCACATCTATCCAGCCATCAGGTGGAGGAATGTGTCAGGAGGAGGACACGTGTTTTTCTCTCCTTCCAGGCCATGACCAAGAACTTGCATGTGTAACTTCCAATCATATCTCATGCTATAGAACATAGAGAGCACGTGCCCCTTGTTCTGTGAAGACGACTTTAATATGAAAAACATAGACTTGTATGTAAGAAGGAGGGAGATATGGAATGCTTTAGGCCAAACTCTTTCTCTTGATATCTTTTTTTTTTTTTTAATCTGGGCCAGAAGATTCGGCCAAATCCAGAAACTTCTGTCGACATGATTCCCCTAGGCTTTGAAGACACTTCTTTGTTTCGAAGTTGGCAGTGTGTCAGTCTGTCTTTCATGCTGCAGTGTCAGTTTGAACTTGTTTTTCCTGGAAAAGTATATGCAGCAGCTCCCGGCTTGACATCTGGGTTGGGAGCACTACATAGCAGATTTTACCTTGTAAAGCTGAAAACATTTTCTTTCTTCAAAATATTTCTAGGAAAAAAAAATTATTTTCTCATCAGAGCACTGTTTTCATTAAGACATAGTATTCAAGAAAAAACACTTAAAATTCCTATGTTTGGCATGTGTCCAACTTCTCTGTGACAGAGCAGCATTTGCTTCTTAGAAAATTGATGATACCTGCAAATCAAGAATTTGTGTTCTAACCTCAGTACTTAACTAAGACATGGCCCTGACTAAGCCAGTGGGTGTCTTAATCGTTCTTAGTTAATAATACCTTAAAACAGAATTTAGGAGTAGCCTCTCATCATATTATATGTATTTTTTTAAGATTTTATTTATTTGTTTGAGATAGTGAGAGAAAGCAGGAACGGGGGAGCAGAAGGAGAGAGAGAAGCAGACTCCCCACTGAGTAGGAAGCCCAACGTGGGGTTTAATCCCAGGATACTGGGATCATGACCTGAGCTGAAGGCAGATGTTTAACCGACTGAGCCACCCTGGTGCCCTGCATTATATGTATTTAATCAACAATTCCAAGGCCCTTTGAAAATGCAGGTGTCATTTTTCTTTGTTGTTGGTTTCAAGAGATCACAGATAACCTTAACTTTCTTGAAGGATGTGTTTTTACTCACAGCTAGCTAGACCAACACGGGGAATGAAATGTCAGGATACATTTAACATTTGCCAACCTGTCACTTTGGGGCATTCTTCTAAAGGCCTTTTTGATAGGAAAAGATCGTTTGAGCACTTAAGATTAGGGATCTTAAGTGATCTTGGTTCGCAGATATTCCCTTTGATAACATATATCCCTTTCCAGGAGTACATTTTGGGAGACTAGAGCTCACTCTTAAGTCCTTAATTATTTGAAGATCTCTGTGCCAGTATTAGGTTTCAGGCAAGGCCAAGTTTAGCCAAGTTTACTGAAAGTATTCCCAGTGTTAACTCCAGTGATTTCATCTGATTCCTTTTTATGCACTCTTTTTTTTTTTTTTAAGATTTTATTTATTTATTTGACAGACAGAGATTACAAGTAGGCAGAGAGGCAGGCAGAGAGAGAAGAGGAAGCAGGCTTCCCGCTGAGCAGAGAGCCTGATGTGGAGCTCGATCTCAGGACCCTGGGACCATGACCTGAGCTGAAGGCAGAGGCTTTAACCCACTGAGCCACCCAGGCGCCCCCTTTTTATGCACTCTTGACAGAGCCAAATTATATAGAGTATATAAAATAAACTGCTGTCTATAGAGTGGTGAGTGGTTTCGTGATTCTCTTCTGTTTTCAGAATGGCTTCTCTCCACTGTTTATCTGATGCCTGCAACCTCAGCCATCATGAATGTTTTGTTTTCTCTTTTGCAGATGACACGATTGGTGCTGCCTGGTATGGTGGAAAGGTGAGTCACGAGCGCACTCACAAACACTAGAGAGACCGAGCTCATGATTATTTATAGGGAGAATCCTTTCTTTGCAAAATTCAGTAGAGTGACTAATGAACCTATCCTCCATGTCTTAGCAACAGAGTAATGTGCCTGGCGAGTCACACGGTAGAGCATGAGTCATCTGGTGGCGGAGGCCTTTTCCACTCGATTCCTTTTTTATTTCCCTCTCCAGGGTTGTGGTGGTTCCTTTAGATCAGGATTAAAAAGTCTGCCTGAGTCACCATCACCAACTCAATTGCCTGCTATTCTGAGGGGGCGGACAGAGTTCCTGGGGTATTCCCCGGAATGCCTTCTTAAAGCTATATGCTCTCAGAACTAAAATCAGTGGAGTTTCACAAAGCAAGACCCCATCTTCTGGTTGTTTAGTTTTTAAGGGGTGAATGGATATATGAGGAACTTACGTATGTTATAAAATGGTTATAAGATGTCAAACCTACCTTTGGAACAGAAACCCACACCGTGGAGCCCCCTTTGTGTTCTGGTTTGAGAGGGGTTCCCCTAGAATATGCTAGATGTCTTCATTTTCATTGAGAAATGTGTCGTAGAGTTTCTTCTTGAAATAGCACCAAGTGTAAAATTGTAATTAAGCTCTGTTTCTCCCTTGGAAAAGCCTGAATGATGCCTAGGCTTTCAAAAGAAACCTGTTGAAAAGATCTGGGCTTGCATCTTGAGCTAGCTTGATCGTTTGCTAAATTTAGGGCTTCACAGTCATCCTTCCTCTGCAAAACAGCTTTGAGTTTGGAAGAGATCCAAAAGAATCATAGCTTCAGAAAGGGCATAGCCCAAAGACCCTACTTTGAAGAAACCTCTGTGACCAGCTACAGGCAGGGTTGACAGCTAATGTTTGTTGAGAACCTGTTACGTCCCAAGTGTTGTACTGAGGACTTGATGTGTGTTAACTCATTTAACTTCGATAGCCTCCCGCCATTGTACAGAGGAGGAAGCAAGGTTAGGAATCCATTTTGTTTGGCATCTACAGAGACTGGTGGAGAAACTGCTTCTTTGCAGTTTTTGTTTGTGATTCCATTTTATATGAAGTTTGGTATATTTCAATTCCTGTAGTAAAATTTCCCTCTAAACACTCAGACTGCTTCGTGTTGGTCGACAGTGAGAGTGTGCCTCTGATGGTCAGATATGGAAGTGAACAGACAGCGGTCTAACCAGATAGAACCCTAGATTGCAGAGAACTGGGGCCGACAGGGTAGAACCCTGGAGGGATGAAGTCATGGCCATCATCTTAATCCACTTTCGCTATCTGCCAGTGACTCGGTATTAATTCAGGACAGTAAGTCCATCCATTAAAAATGAAATACTTAAAAACCACAGAAGCATTGGAAAAGGGATTTTTAAGTGTGTTGGTGAAAACCATATCAAAAAGAGATGATTGTTGTGAAGTAATCTTGCAGATCATAATGGATTTAAATAGTCATGGAATTCTAGTACTTTAATTAGTTGAAACCAGTCCCGCCCTTATTTGATAGAAAGTGAGTCCCAAAGAGATTGAGCGCTATGAAGCTTCATGATTAGTTAGTAAATGATACAGACCCAGAGTGCCAGGAACTTCACTCCTATCTTTAGAGACCTGGCAGCCTTAACCGCAGTTTTAGCTAGAGCATTAGATTAAAAGCAATGCGAAGAAGAGGAGCCATTCATTCAGCAGGCACTCACTGAGTAGAGTTTATCATGGAGTATACAGAGGATGAAACCGATCTTTGCCTTTAGGAAATCAAGTTGATTTTAAACTAAATTTGAGAAATGATCTGGTGGAAAGCCGTCATAGGCTATGGACTGAAGCTGACACCGTGAGGGTGATCGTGGCTCTTGCTAAGAACTGGTAAGAAATATATGTGGACTTTATCCATCAGTACTTTTGGTCAGAAAAGGGAACAGCAAAGTTCACTCGAATTAAGAGTTACTGGTTCTATTAGTTAAGGTAAGCTAATTGCTGTAAGAGACCATCCCAAGATCTCTGTGGCTTACCACTCTAAAGGCTGACTTTCTTCCTCCGGATACATGGCCAGTGTGGATCAGTGGTTGGGGCTGTGCTCCATTCAGGGATCTCAGACTCCTTCCGTGTAGGGGCTGTTCTTCCCTTGGACCTAGCAGCTCTCCGCTGCGTTTTCTGCATCCAGCTAGCAGGTGAGGGAAGAGCAAATAGAATGATTTCATGGGAGGTTTCATTGGGCCAGGCCTGGAAGGGGTGTACATCACTTCTGCCAACGGTTCATTGTCTAGAACTCAGTCTCAGGCTACCACTAACTGCACACGAAGCCAGAAATGTTGTTAGCTGTGTGCCCAAGAGGAGAGGAAAAACTCCAAGGTAACCGATCATCTGGAAGCCTTCTTCCTTGTACATATAAGTGATTTTATTATAGCCTGTCCTTAAATGGCATATTTCCTATGGTTGGTTTCCATAGGAGTTGAATTTCCATTGAGGAAAGCAGTGTCCTTTCTAAAGATCCTTTGTTGTTGTTGTCGTTGCTGCTTTTCCCCTTTCACTGATTCTACCTCTGATGTATGAGATTTTCCAAACCCTCTAGAACGATAGCCTAAAGGCAACTCTCACTAAACAAGTACCTATAATTAAACTAAGGTATTATTACCACAGAAGTAGAAAGTGCATAATTACATTATAGAGGAAACTTGCTCTTTCCACTTCTCTGGAATTATAAACATTGTGTACAGCTGGAGCCAGGAGGTGGTTGCCATAACAACCATGGAAAAGCTAAAAATAGCCCCTTTGATACTGTATTGCTTAAGGTGGAATTATGACATGTTACGGTGTTTTAGGGCAGGCAGTCCTCTTTCATGTGGGAAATGTTTGCAAACTTCCTTCAGCAAAGCACGATTCGTATAATGTATTTGGATTGCCGGTTCTAATTATGTGTCTGACCCCTCTGTTCCAGGATTCTTTTCTGACATAGAACTCTGTTTTGATACGTTTCTCAGTCTTCTGGAGAGTCTGCTGGAGAATTGTCTGTACCAATTTCAGTGTTATATTTAAGCTTTAAAAAAAAAAAAAAAAAAGTAATGACCCTCCAGGAGCTCCCTCATGGGCTCCTTGATAAGAAATGGAAATAGGAAGTATCATCATGGAGTCTTTTCTGCACAATCTCCCTTACCTGCTATCAAACTCTGTATACAGTTAGCTGCCTGCATCAGAGTTGACCCTGTGTTCCAGCCCTCCACAGGAGCACTTATACTTCCCCATCTCTCTCCCCGGCATCACAGGGCAGTGCCGACCTTCCCAAGGAAGGCGGAGATCAGTGACTTATTCAAAGGAGACCTATCACTTCCTCTATGGCAATAGTATTTTTATAGAGCTGTGGACAAGGATACTGCAGCAGTCCGACAGAATGGTGGGGGCATTTATGGGAAAATAAAGGCCTGACAATTTTTTTATCCAGGTGACAATTAAGGGGAGCATTAAGATAGGGTTTCTTTCCACAGGTCTGTGGGAATGCTACTAGAGAGCAGAGCTATGAGAAGCTATAAATACCAGATACTGAATTTTATAGGGTTGGATGAGTTTGACTTTTGGCTTGTAAAAGGGCTAGTAATTGAAGAGAATATGTTTCTATGAAAAGGCGCTTTCTTATCAGCAGTGGTGTCTTCTGCTTTGTTTCTGCAGTATTTTAGTTCTGGTAGATCCTCGGTAATTTGTACCACCGAGACACCATCGTGTGGCTGTTAGCAAGGAAGCAGTGTGATGAATTAAGAATGTTCTATCACAGAAAATAGGACTTGACTTGTTTATTTGGATATTTGTCATAACAGGCTGGGAAGTGTGCCAAAGTAAGAGCAACATGAGTCTTCATTGTGGAACTTGGGCACATATTGTTAATATACCTTCCGATCTTAGAATTGTTCCCCAAGTCCCCAGAAAATGAGAGATTAACTAAGATTCGGTTTTCTGTTTGTTTTCGTGTGCAATTAAGCGCATCCCATTTTGTCCTCCTGCTTGATATAACAGAGCTGTCGTGAGTCTGGCTCTGCCATGGAAACTGGTTTGACGTCACTAATTCTGCTTAGATGGAGGGATGGAGGATTAGAGCCAGACAAAGTAGTTGATTTTAAAGACGAGCCCTTTGTGCCTCGCAGTCCCAAATGTTCACCCCATCCCTGCATGGAGAGTAGATACTGTATACAGTACAAGGATTAAGACAGCTCTACCAGCGTGTTGTTTATGATTCACACAAAACTAAGTTGAATATTATTATCCTTGGAGAGAAAGAGCATTCTGTGCTGTTGCGTGTGTGGGTGTGGGAGGAAGGTTTTTGCTAGACAAATTCGTGAGCTGCTTGTTGGCACAGAGTTTTCATGGAAGGGGTGTTTCTCTGCTGTCATTATGATACAATTATAAATGCTATCCTTTTATTTCCTCAGGTCTAGTGCGTTCTTGCTTTAGACTTCGTTGGTCTTGGGTCTGTTTAATGTAGTCTAGGGTGCAGATACTTTGTTTGAAAACGTTCTCTCAAATTCTGACTTTTCACTAACAACCAACTCTTAGCTCCCAGACATTTTAACTGGGATAGAGTATTTGAGAAACGAAGATCTTAGTTGGGTCAAGGGGTAAACAATTAAAGGAGCACATGTGCATAATTGTGACATATTTGATTATTGGTCTATTTTTGAAAATGGGAAAGAAGTTTTTACTGTCTTTAAATAAATTTTTTCTGTATTGAAATCATTGCTTTGGTGAGTGAAGTTTAAAGAGTGTATTTTGTTTTGGTAAGATCAGAATTTCATTTTTAAAATGCATTTGAGGGGCACCTAGGTGGCTCAGTTGGTTAAGCAACTGCCTTCGGCTCAGGTCATGATCCCGGAGACCAGGAATTGAGTCCTGCATCAGGCTCCCAGCTCCGCGGGGAGTCTACTTCTCCCTCTGACCCTCTCCCCTCTCATGCTCTCTCTCACTTTCTCTCTCTCTCTCTCAAATAAATAAATAAAATCTTTAAAAAAATAAAATGCATTTGATAACGTTAAACTTTAATTTTGGAAGACTTGTAAATTGCATTTCATGTGTGAGGAATGAAATTAAAAATGTTAAGATTTTTGTTCAAGGGCACATGTAACCGCCTGCCAATCTGAGTATAATGGAGCACATGATCCAGCTGACAAAACCAGCCGCGCTGTACTCCAGCTTCCATGAAGGACACAATCATCTAGAACTCGTCTAAACTAGCTTTTCTTCTTCATTTGCTCCAAATGATTGAGGCCATGGCAATTCCTGGTTACACCAGAAGAGGTTAAAATAAAATGCTAACCTAAAGCCACAAGAGTGCTTAAGGCTCAGACAGGGTATAGCTTGTCAGGATTTGAGGTTACTTCTCAGAAAGCATTCTGTGTTGCGGAAGACACCATAGCTCTCTCCTCTTTCCTGTGATTGAGGTCTGCTCTGAGCTTAAAAGTGACACCTTGTAATAGATCATAAATACGCTTCTCTCTCTGTCTTTTACAGGTTTGTTGAGATATATTTCACATACCACACAATCCATCCATTCAAGTATACAATTTGGTGGTTTCTAGCATGTTCACAGAGCTGTGCAACCATCCCCACGATCTAATTTGAGAATATTTTCACACCCTAAGAAGATAGGGATATTTTAAACATTGTTAATTAGTACTCTCTTAAAGGTCTCCAGTAACAAAAGTTGCCTTTTAGTCCACTTTGATCAGAGGAGTTTCTCACAAATAGATAAAATCAAAATCTTAAATACTTATTCCTAATTACTAGTTTTTGCCTTAGAGTGATTGGGTTCTAACTCCTGATAGGCACTCTTACTCCCTTCCAGTATTTAAAAACAAAAGGCTTTTGGGGCACCTGGGTGGCTCAGTCGTTTAAGCGTCTGCCTTCAGCTCAGGTCATGATCTCAGAGTCCTGGGATCAAGCCCCGCATCGGGCTCTCTGCTCAGCAGGGAGCCTGCTTCCCCCTTTCTCTCTGCCTGCCTCTCTGCCTGCTTGTGATCTCTCTGTCAAATAAATAAATAAAATCTTTAAAAAAAAAGACTTTTTTTGTCTCTGAGATACAAGCAAAACATGCAAGAATCATATATCAGTGCATAGACTAGATATTTCCAACTTTCTTTAAAAACCTCAATATAACACTTTTAAATTTGACATTTGATTTCAGTGGCCAAAATATGAGTGGATTTCACTGTTTAGGAACATGTGTATTACTAGTAAAGACTTGGGTTCAAAAATAAAAACACAAGACGACAACTTGTTTCCAGGGACACAGTAAGCTAAGAGTCCAGACTTCCGTTTGATGGTTGAAGTGGCATCTCGCCTGGGGGCTGGCAGATGGACTCGGTGACCTTTGGGGATTATTTCTTTTCAGATTTATGTCTAAAATAATGTAGATTCCATTTAATCATGTTTCTTTTATTATTTTGCATAAAATGAGTCTATATAGTCCTTTTTTAAAAAGTACTGAAAAAAATTGGTCTTGGGGGAGATAAATTCGCAAGAACAAGGGGAAGCTGAGCAGAAGGAAAGGAGCCTCACCAGAGGACAGGAGGTAGGTAGGGTTTGCTTGAAGTAGATGAAGGGGACTGACACCCCTCCCCACTACCCTGAGAAGAATGGATTTGTTGGGGGAAGAGTGGCTTTTAATTCTGTTGAAAATTCCTAAAACCCTAATTCCAAACTTTACCCAAACTGGATGTACTTGCTGGCAACTAGCGTATTTACAGCATTGCTTTCCTCCAATTATTGTTCATTTATTAGTAAAATTAGTAATTCCTGGTAACTTTCTGACTTGGACTTTTCAGTAGTCTCTAGAAGTTACAGTAGAAATGGAGCTTTGCCTTTGGACAAAGAATATGGTTTGATCTCCTAGAGAGTTGCATAATTTTATAGTCAACTCTGTTTTGTAACTGAGTAGCAACAGCCTGGAGAAAGAAGCAGGGTAGAACAGAACCATTCACTTATCACTGGGAGGTTTTATTAAGCACCTGTTACATGCTCAGGACTGTGCAGGGGTGTTGGAGGAAACGTGTAAGGTAAGGGCTATGATGTGTAGACACTTAGGGTTTTGTCGAGGGAGAAAAGCATTTATATATATGCGATGATGAAATACTAACAGCAAGGTAGTATGTGCCGGCAGGCCAGGATTATGAGAGTGTTTCTAAGAGCAAGGATTCTTGGTGATGTGGCCAGAGAAGACCTCTGACAGGAGAGATCAACCGGAAGAGATTGTCGCTCTGATCTGGTCATGCCCCAGATTACTAAAGCAGAAATGAGCTAATCGCAGACTAGAGCTATTTTTAGTTGATTGAGTTATGCCTCATTCACTGACCAAGGATATCATGTGCTATGAAAGGCAAGGAGAGATGTCTGTTAGAAAAACAGCTCTATTCTGTTTAAAATAATTCTATGTCACGAACTGTAATTTACAAGCCATTGTGTCTATGATTTCATTCTGTTTACTTGGTGCATTTTCCTTTTCAGATCTAAAGGGGCAATTCTGAACATCTCCTCTGCCAGTGGCATAGCCCCAGTTCCACTGTTGGCCATCTACTCTGCAACCAAGGTAAACAATTTTTTAGTCAATCATGTCAGGCTAAGAATGACGAGAAATAACTATAGAGGCTTCTTGGAGTTCTCTTCTTGGCTGTTTTCAAATGGACTGGGAAGGAAAGGAATGGAGGCACTAAGAGCTCAGATTCACAGATGCTTTATTCTGCTGGCAGTCAGCTGGTTTTAAAACCGATACAGGCGTACCTCGGAGTTACCAGAGGCTTGGTTCCAGACCCTCACGATAGCGCGAATATCACAATAAAGCAAGGCCAATGAGTGGTTTGGTTTCCCAGTGTATATAAAAGTTACATTTACACAAGGGTCTGTGTGAAAAAAAAAGTTATGTTTACACTACACCGTAGTCTATTAAGTGTGCAATAGCATTATGTCTCGAAGAGCAATGTACCTATTTTAATTAAAAAATACTTTATTGCTAAAATATGCTGTCCTCTGATCCCTCAACATGTGGTAATCACTGAACACAGATCACCATAACAAATATAATAATCACGAAAAACTTGAAATATTACGAGAATTGCCAAAATATGATGCAGAGACAAGAAGTGAGCATATGCTATTGGAAAAACGGTGTCAATAGACTTGCCTGACGCAGGGTTGCCACAAACCTTCCACTTTGTAAAGAACACAGTCTGTGTGATGTGCAGTAAGGCAAAATATGAGGAAACAAGGGATGCCTGATTTTGTGCTTTCCATGGAGAGCTGGCCTAGGCCAGTCAGCTCTGTTGATCAGAACATGTTAACGATGGCGGATTTGGCTCATGAATGAGTCAGCTTCATCATACAGCAAAAGTTTCAACTCTGCAGAGCTAACTGGAAGAATTTGCCACCAGTCAGGACATAAATATACACAGTAGGTACAAGACAGCCCGGATCAGAGTGTGAGTATTTTACATTATTCAGAATTCATAGATATTTATTGTCACTTCTGGAGTGAGACAAGGATTTTCTAGAACTCTCTGTAAGATGTCATAATTCTATACAATATCACCACTCACCTCTTCACATTCCTAGGAGGAAAAATTATTTAGAATCCATTTCCGGCTGCCTACATGTCCACGGTGCCTTCTTACCCGTTGCTGAGGCATAGGACACATCTCTGAAATGAAAGTGACCATTGAGATGCTGAAATTAAGCAAGCTTTTAGGGGAAAATGAGCAAAGTATAGTAAGAACTTGCGATATGTCAGAGAAGGAAAAGAGCAAAATGTTTGCCTTCTTTTTCCCTTGGCTCCATATCCACCGGAAAAACGTGAACAGTGACTACTGTTTTGAAAAAGCAAGGCACCACTCCCCTCCTGCCATCTTCTTGCTTTCTGTATCTCTGAAATATACAGAAGGTGGGTCTAAGATGAACACCATGTTTCTTGAAGTGATTTTTGGACCCAAGCTTCTCACCCTGTTCTGCTCTGTGGGCATAAGACTATGATTAATTGGGAGCCCAGCAGAGTCATTACTGATACATTATTTTAAGCCTGAGGTGGAGTCCATATTTGAAAAATGGGACATTATATTTTACAAATAGATTTAAAAGTATACTATCAGAAGAAGATGGGCTGTCACATTCATCCCTATACTTCTTGGATCTTTCCATCCCCAAGGACCAAGAGGATGCTTGCTCTTTTCTTTATTGACAACAAAATCCCTATAGAGGAGAGTTGAACAGAATTCATATTGTGTTTCCGTTCGAATGGCAAGTGGGGAGGAGGAACCGGAGCCTTTGTTATATAATAAAACATTTCTTCTTGGAAAGTAGTTTTCTGAAAAAAAGGAGAGATAAGACCCTTGGCTGGTTAAGTCAAGATTTGATCTGGAGATTATATTTGGTAAGAGAATACTTAATTTAGTGGCAGATAAAAACAACTTGAGGTTTGGGGGTTTGTTGTTTTTTTTTTTAAGGTCTCTTCTGCATTGGAAATAAGAAGAATGATTAGGAACTCAGTGTTAAATGGTTAGTTTGTTATTTGTGTTGCCATGACTACTGATCAGGCCGATTGATGTAATGTATGTGTTTCCTTCTCACTCCCACCCCATCCCAGGCTTTTGTGGATTTCTTCTCTCAGTGCCTCCATGAGGAATATAAGAGCAAGGGCATCTTTGTGCAGGTGAGTGGGGTTTGTCTCAGTTGCCTATCCCTGTTTTTGTGTGGTTTCCACAGCAACTGTTGCCGTCTTGGCAACGAAAGAAAATCACATTCCTAAAGAAGTGAGTGTGACGTTAGCACACCATTAAAGACATGATTTCTTTTTCTTTTATGCACTTAAGTCTAGATTTAAAAAAATTATCCCCTAGAATTCTGAAGTAAGGATACTTAAAGTAGGACTAAGTGCACGGTTTTATTTCTTAACAGCTTTATTTTGAGAAAATTGGGACTGTCAGTATCTCTTAGCTGCCAGGTGTGAAAGGTGTGCTGTGACTCCATTCCCAAAGCCACAGGGTAAACATCACAGGGGCAGGCGGAGGGCTGCGTAAAGCCCTCTCTTTCCAGAGCAAGGCTATGACTCTGGGGTGGTAGTGAGTTTTCATTTTTTTTTTTTTTAATTGTGGTAAAAATACCTAACAGAAAACACCACTTAAATCACTTTTCAATATTGAGTTCAGTGGCATTAAGTACATTCACACTGTTGTGCTACCATCAGCACCATCCCTCTCCAGAACTTTCTCATCTTCCCAAACTGAAACACTGTGTCTATTAAAGTAACTCCTCACTTCCCCCTCTCCCAGCCCTGGAAACGCTCCATTCTACTTTCTGTGGCTCTGAACCTGGCTACTCGAGGGACCTCACGTGGGTGGAATCCCCAGTCTTGGTCCTTTTGCGGCTGGCTCATTGCACTTCGTTTAACATCTTCAAGGTTCGCCCATGTTGTTGGCTGTGTCGCGCTTCCCTTTTGCTTGAAGGCTGAACGGAATTCTGTTGTATATATACGCCATGTTGTGTTTCTTCGTTCATCTGCTGTTGGACATTTGGGTTGCTTTCACCTTTTGGCTGCTGTGAATAGTGTTGCTATGAACATGAGGTGTACACCTATCTTTTTGAGACTCTGCTTTCAGTTCTTTTGGACAGGTGCCCAGAAGTGGAGTTGCTGGATCAGGTGGCAATTATTTACGTGTGTGTCTGTGTGTGTGTGTGTGTGTGTGTGTGTGTGTGTGTGTATCTTTTCTTTGAACTCCCTTACTTTTTCTTTAGAAGCTTACCTGTTCTGTATTCCCACAACATATCAGGATTCCAACTTTTCCATATCCTTACCAATACTTATTATTTTGTTGTGTTTTTGTTTTTAAATAATAGCTGTCCTAATGGTAGGAGGTGGCCTGTCATTGTGATTTTGATTTGCGTCTCCCTCATTCGTGATGCTAAACACCTTTTCAGTGCCCTTTCAGCTGGTTATTGGTCATTTTGTATCTTCTTTGGAGAAATGTCGGTTCAGATCCGTTGCCCTTTTTAACTTGGGTCGTTAGCTCTTTATTGTTGAATTGTAGGAGTTCTTTATATATTCTGGATATTAACCCTTTATCAAATATATGATTTGCAAATATTTTCTCCTGCTCTGTGGGTTGCCTTTTCATTCTGTGGATTGTGCCCTTGGATGCACAGAAGTTTTTAATTTGAATGTAGTCAGTTTATCTGTTTTTCCTTTTGTTGCCTGTGCTTTTGGTGTCCTATGCAGCAGATCACTGCCTAATCGAATGTTGTGAAGCTCTCTCTGTTTTCTTTCAAGAGTTTTATGGTTTTAGCTTTTACATTTAGGCCTTTGATCTATTTTGACTTAATCTTTGTAGAGACCTTTGCTTTTATTATGTAGCTAACAGACACAATGCTGTGAAAGTATAATACCAAATATGAGAGGGAGCAAATGTAGGGGGTTTTATGACTATCTGTCTCAAAGCAGCTCTCCTTGTTCAACACAAAGAAATAATGGCTCACGGCGGTTCCCTGCTTAGGCACATTTTTAATAGTATCTTAGGAGAAGTTGCAATGCACATCCCTTTCCTACTCCCACCCACGACCTGCTCCCACTTCTCCACACACCCCATTGTTCATCATGGCTCTCATTATTGCGAGCCTCATATTTCGATTTTTGTGCCCTGAAGCCCCAGATGATCAGTCATCGTATAGCTAATGTTTGAAGGGTTACTTTTCACGCACAGTGCTAAGTACTTTATATGTATCCATTTATTTCATTTTTATCTCGTAATGACTTCATAAGGTGGTGAGATTATCATCTTCTATAAATTTATGGAAATCAGGGTTAGAGAGGTTAAGCCACTTGCCCATGTCGAACCAAGCCTCAAATCCAAGGCCATTTGGCACCAAAGCCTTTGTTTTTAATCACTGGGCTCCTAACTTGAGGCCTTTAGGGCAGCGTTGAACACATTTCAGCCATCTGTGCCCAGGCAGTTACGGACTCAGTTCCATTTCCTCCCTTGTATCTTTGGACGGTCAAGGTGGCCCAAAGTGTTGTCCGGATCTAGCTTCTAAGCCGTTATATCCTATGGGTGGAGACCACAGCTAAGTCACCCACAGTGAGATGGCGTGTGGTAGGTAAGGGAAGAGTAGGGTCAATGTGTCCTCATCTTCCAGGGCCACCTTAGAGTCTGCTTCCTGAGGTCTCCCCCCTGTGGTCCTTAAGTATCATAGCCCTTTGATGTTCTTCTGATTTGCAGCCTCCCATTAATACACAGCATACATGGCGGGCAGGAAGACAGGTTTTCGAGAACCCTGAATTTTACACTGAACTACCACACTCCCCCTTCTTCCCCTGACCCTGTCATTTCAGTGCTAGTAGCTGAAGTCTGCCGTGTGGAACGTGGTGTATTTCGGTGACAAGGAGCTGGTAAAGCACACATGGAATGTAGGGTATCACGTGCCACACAGTGTCGTGCCATTTCCTCATTCTGAGGAATCTGTTGTAATCAAGTTATTAATTTCATAATTTTTAAATACCTGCTGAGACTCAGTAGGATCTCACCGATCCATCAGCGGGTGACCTTGAGGCAGCATGGCCAGAAACTGCCAGTGGCTGAATGACAAAAGGGAGTTTTACACTCTGCGAGCGCAGACGAGCAATTTCTGAAATTCTCTGAATAGATGAGACCGTCTCCTCCCTCGTCCCCACAGCTTGTTTCCCTCAAAGATCTTTTCTCCATATTCTCTGCCTATTAGCCTGGCGTCATTAGAAGCTACTCCAAAAACAGTAGCAGTTTGTTTTTTGAAATGTGTAACTTTGATAAACTTGTTTTTCCCCAATAATGGATTCTCAATTATGTCATTTCATTGATCATTGTCTTCCTTCAGAATGCATTCATTTGAGGTTTAAATGTAGCGTGAATTTGGCAAAAAAGAAATAAAAGCTCACATGTTTGGGAAGGAAAGTACAGCTGTCGTTTCTGTGTGAACGTACCAGAATGCTGAAGTAGAATAGAATGTCATACTGGTTCTGACCAAAGGGACAGAAATAGCTCGTCCAAATAAAGCTCAAAGTTAAAAATTATTGGTTTTTCTTTGGTGGTGGTTTATGTCTGCCTGTTTTTTGGACCAGGAGTTATTTACTGGCAATTTTTTTTTCCTACTCCACCCCACATAATGTTTCCCGGATGGTCTTGCTAGAATCCAAGTCAGGTAATGTTGCTTTCCTGCCTAGTCCTCTAGCGGCTGCCTGCGGGGTTTGAGATTGAATTCTGACTCCATAAGGCCATCGCCTCTCTTGCCACTCATCATCCCTCCCTGCGTCCGGCCAGAGTGGGCCTGTGGTGTCCGACACATACTCTGCTCTCGGCGGACTAGCTCCTCTGCTGGCACGCCTTTCTCCTCTTCTCCCCACTCCCCGTCTCCCCGTTCACTCCAGAGCCGATGACCCCTGTCCATCTTTCAAGGCTCAGGCCACACTTCACCTGCCTTGGGAAACCGAATCTCAGCTACATGATATCTCTTTCCTTCTGCTCTCCTCATTCTGCTTGCGGACCTCGGCCTGATACTCTCTGGCTCCTCTGCCTTCCCCCACTCAATATATCCTTGAGATCTGGATTTTTTTTTAATCTTGTTTGTGTCTGCGGTTGCTAGTGGCACATGTAATTTGGGGCACACCAGGGACCTGCCTATTGCTTGGTATCAGGGAAGACTCTGGTTATGCATGGCCGTGCTTGGCGGTACACAGACATTCATTTTAAAGGCCCTTTGAGTTGCTTCTCCTGCTCCCATAGGCCTCCAGTCTTGAATTTTCAACCTCTGTATCTAGAGGGCTTCCAGGCTAATGCTGTGTTGCCACATTTCAGTTTCTTCTAATCCTTGGAAGGAAAGCTATCATTTTTAGGTCTCCCTCCATGTGAAGGTATATCAGATTGCTCTTTGGGGAGAGAAAGAGTATGTTTTTTTGAATTTAGGTTGTTTTATATTAATTCCTTCTTAATATTTTTCCTTCGCTTTCCTTTTCCATCTTTCCCTCAACTTCTTTCCCATAATTTTGTGAGGATATTTAAATTTTCCTTCATGGATTCAGATTTGCCATGAAATAAGCATTTTGTGGAAATGCAAATGAACAGTGGAGACAGCAAATGAAAAAAAGGTGAATTTTGGACCTGATAAATTCTGTCCATTATGTTTGAATTGAGAGTAAGAAGTTCTTTCTTGAGTAAGCCTTATCAAAAGTATGCTTTTGGTATGTTGGTGAGGACTCTCTGTTCTCATTACTGCCTTATAATTAGTCAGCCTAGTCAGAATTATGCTTAACACTTTCAAAGGGCAAAATCATAAGTGATCCGATTGGCTAGTGGGTGGCCCCCGTCCTGGCTCCTTCTGTAGGCCAGGTACCAACTAGCCATGAATGAATGTATAAGGAGCTAAGACTATGCCAATTTCCTGAATCATACTTCTTGAACTCTTACTCTGTGAAACCTTCACAAGCTGCCTTGTTTTTTAAAAATGTCTTATTTGGAAATAATTTCAAATCTATAGAAAAGCTGTAAGAATAAGAATAATACAAAGAACATTCTAGACCCCTCTACCCAGATTCACTTAATGTTACGTAACTTACTCCATTTGCTTTATTACTGAAAGGTAAGTTGCATACATCATGGTTCTTTACCTCTAAATACCTCGGTGTGCACT